TAAACCACAGAGCCTAGGACTTGCCGATCAGAAGGTCGGCGGTTTGAATCCCCGCAATGGGGTGACCTCCCATTGCTCGGTGCTTGCTCCTGGCAACCTAGCAGTTTGAAAGCACGTCAAAGTGCAAGTAGATAAATAGGTACTGCTCCGGCGGGAAGGTAAATGGCTTTTCCGTGCACTGCTCTGGTTTGCCAGAAGCAGCTTAGTCATGCTGGCCACGTGACCCAGAAACTGTACGCCGGCTCCCTCAGCCAATAAAGCAAGATGAACACCGCAACCCCAGAGTCGGCCACGACTGGACCTAATGGTCAGAGGTCCCTTTACCTTTACCTTTAAGGAAAAGCAGAACATTCTGGGATCAAATAAGAAACTGGGACGGCTTCTGTAAATTTGGGACTGTCCCTGGGAAATAAGGATACTTGGAAGGTCTGCTATGCTGGTCCATGGGGTCACGAAGAGTCGGACACGACTAAACAACAACAACAATGACCTTACTTATGCCGTCTCCCTATAGTTAGGATTGTAAGCTCATTGTTACAAGCACAACTGCCAAATCCCCATTACTTGCTGCGAATCTAAGTACCTGTAACAAGAGAGACTTCCACCGTCTACACAAGGCCTCCAGCACACATTGCTTCTGCTCCACTGTTGTTTTCCCTGTGTTGGATTTTAGATTGTAAGCTCACTGGGGGCAGGGACTGTCCTGTTATGCTTTCAAGCAATATGCACATTGATGGTGTAATAAAGCAACTATAAACACAAAAGCCTTTTCAAAATGTGCTCTATTTATCTGTAAGGTCATACCTATCCCACTAGCAGCAATGCACAGATGGTCCTCAGTCTTTTATCAGTTTCACTTCCCTGTTGTTGTTTTTTATAGCACCGCTGCAATGAACAAGCCTTCCTTGATGGCTGAGTGGGGAACAAGGCAGAGCCTCACTGTTAATTCACTGAGGCAAGGCATTCCCTGCTTCCAGCTGAAATATGAGCTATGGGGACCATATGGAAAGACTCCTCAGTTTGGGGGGGGGAGCAGTTGGGTGAGCTTTGCAAGATTGTGTGAACCGCAGCATGTTGTTGTTGTTGTTGTTTAGTCGTTTAGTCGTGTCCGACTCTTTGTGACCCCATGGACCAGAGCACGCCAGGCACTTCTGTCTTCCACTGCCTCCCGCAGTTTGGTCAAACTCATGCTGGTAGCTTCGAGAACACCATCCAACCATCTCGTCCTCTGTCGTCCCCTTCTCTTTGTGCCCTCCATCTTTCCCAACATCAAGGTCTTTTCCAGGGAGTCTTCTCTTCTCATCTTATGAGGTGGCCAAAGTATTGGAGCCTCAGCTTCAGGATCTGTCCTTCCAGTGAGCACTCAGGGCTGATTTCCTTCAGAATGGATAGGTTTGACCTTCTTGCAGTCCATGGGACTCTCAAGAGTCTCCTCCAGCACCATAATTCAAAAGCATCAATTCTTCAGCGATCAGCCTTCTTTATGTTCCAGCTCTCACTTCCATGCACCACTACTGGGAAAACCATAGCTTTGACTATACGGACCTTTGTTGGCAAGGTGATGTCTCTGCTTTTTAAGAACAGCAGCACAGAGTGGCACAAATCCTTGGAGTTCCCCCCTTCCCACTGCCCAAAACAGTGAACGTTGCACAACCCCTTTTGCACTTGTTTCCTGAGCTTCCTCTGCCAAGATGCAACCCAAACATTTTCAAGCTTTCCCTGACAACTGTTTGTTATTTTTAAAGAAATCTAAACGACGAAAGAAGATCATCAAGATGCCAGACAACATACTTGCATACTGGGAAACCACAAATGGAACGAAACTATGCAGAGCCTAGTTTATCATGTGACATAGCATCACGGATCATGGCCTTTTCTCACCACCCCAGACGGAAGGTGATAAGGCAATCACAGGTTATTGAGTAATCTAGGGAATCTCCTTTTGTGTTTCCAAGGAAAACTTGGGCAAATAATGCACTGAGCATAACACAGCAATGAGCAGAAGGCAGCACACCAATAAACCATGCTCTGATTTCCAGTGGACCGCCTTGTGGAGCATAGGCAGCTGTTTGACTTTGGGTCCCTTTAAATCCATATTGTCTACACTGACTGGCAGGGCTCACCAAGATTTTGGACGGGGGGGTGGCATTCCCAGCGCAACCTGGACATGCCAGTGGCAATTGTACCTAGTACCATCTGCATGCATATCCACTGAGTTGAAGTCCATTCCCAGCTTGCTGTTGTGGGGATTATTATTACTATTTTTGCAAAGGTTGGCTTATACAGAGCTTGGTCCGAGACATGTAATTATGGCAGAGTGCATACACAGGATCAACTTGTTCCAGATCAGTGAAGCCTTAACTGCTGAGAGACTCTGAGCTTTGTAAACATAAAATAATTAAAGGAGCACACAGGGATTCTGAAATATACTAGGAGTTGAGTGTGGATTTCATGCTCTTTATTCAGCTCATAGTAGTGAGGAATCGAAGTTCCCCCGAAATGTCTGCTTTATATACATTATTTACACAATGGGCCCCACGTGATTGGTCAGTTCCGGGATTCTCCTGTAGGCCAATCAGGTTGCGGATTCACTTCCACCTGGAGTTGGATTGGGTGGCTCCAGCGGACCAATCAGACTGCTGCATTCTGGATCCTATTGTTCTAGGACCAATCAGACTGCAGCATTCTGAATCCTATTGTTCTAGGACCAATCAGACTGCTGCAATTTGGGACCTATTCAATTCAGTACATAACAGATTCCCAAATAAAACAAACTGATCCACATTTCTTCAAAACCTTCACAAGAAGTTGACTGTTTTCTTTAATAGGTTAACTTTTTTAACATTCCACAAGAGGAGGTGCCTGCACCTTCCTTAAAAAAAACACAACTTTGTGAGTTTGATTTTTCTCTCTCTACATTTTTCATTTCAGCTTTAAAGTAAATCTTAAAAGAGCTTCAGCATCATACACAATAAGAGAATGTGACGGTATTCCAGAGTTCTTCATTTTATCTGTAAAACGTGACTTTGCCAGTACGGCGGGCCCTTATCTGAGAGTTGATGTTTGCAGATGACGCAGCGTTGACAGCGCCGAGACTCATGGACCCTTTCGCCCAAGCCCGCAGGGAGTTTGGCCTCACCATTAGCCTGACGAAGACCAACAACATCCTGGGACATCTGAAGTGGTAGGTGGCTCTGTCTACCTGGCTTCCACCATAACCAGCAACCTTTCTGTCAATGCTGAGCTGGACAATGTCACCCAGTAAATCGGCATGAGGAAACACACCCCATGGTGCAATAAATGTTGTGGTGTGCCAATGCCATTTGTAGAGCAAACAGATGCACAGGACCCAAGGGTGTTGTTTAGGCATTTGGATGGATAATTTTTGACAGCTTACATGGACGAGAGTTTAAAGCTACACCTACCATAAATTAGTCCAAGTATTAAAGGTACAGGAGCCCTGCTCTTCCCTGCTCTGGTTGCTTGCTGGGGGCTGGGGAGGGCTGTTTTATAGGATCTGGTGCTGCGGGTTTCATGACTGGTTATCAATAAACGGGAGCCATATCGCCTGCTTTTCTTAGGCATGGCCCCAGTGCCCTCATGTTGCAACAGCCACATCTGAGTTAGAAGAAGAAGAGTTTGGATTTGATATCCCGCTTTATCACTACCCGAAGGAGTCTCAAAGCGGCTAACATTCTCCTTTCCCTTCCTCCCCCACAACAAACACTCTGTGAGGTGAGCGAGGCTGAGAGACTTCAGAGAAGTGTGACTAGTCCAAGGTCACCCAGCAGCTGCAGGTGGAGGAGCAGGGAAGCAAACCTGGTTCACCAGATTACGAGTCTATCGCTCTTAACCACTACACCACACTGGCTCTCTCTCACACTGAATTATCTCTGGCAAAGATTGGCAGAAGTTGAAGGTAGGAAGTCAACAGCAGAGAAATATGCAAGCCCCAAAGTGCTCGTTTTCGTGTGATCTGATGCATAACAGCAGTGACCAGAGGAGGAAGGACTGCTGGGAGGACTGCAGAAAGAAGATGTGCCATGAAGCACCTGCCGCAGCACAACCGGACACCTTCATCTGCCCTAGCTGCAACAAAACATGTCTCTCCCGTATTAGCCTCTACAGCCACAGTAGTGGCTTGATAATCTTTCAGAGAGAGTTTTCTTATGCTTTCTCCACCCTGGATTGGCCACATGGGTCTATAGAGTAGTCAATCAGGGTCAAAGCAAAAACAGGATGTCATCACTTAGCAAGTACAAATTAGGTATCTGATGACATTGCTGCGATCAAGTGAGGCAAGCAAGAATGAGGGTGACGCTTCCTAGATGAGTCACATGGGTGATCCCAACCAATTAGTGAGCATGACACCTCTGTTGTGTTACGTAGCCAAACACATCTGATTATGTGATACGTGATAATATTACTAAGGGCGACGGAGGTCAATTTGGAGGGTTGCAAAGCCACATCTGGAAGATCCCCACCTGACTGACAACAACTGAAGATGTGGACTCAGAGGTAGGTAAAGGTAAAGGTACCCCTGCCCGTACGGGCCAGTCTTGACAGACTCTAGGGTTGTGCGCTCATCTCACTCTATAGGCCGGGAGCCAGCGCTGTCCGCAGACACTTCCGGGTCACGTGGCCAGCGTGACAAGCTGCATCTGGCGAGCCAACACAGCACACGGAAGGCCATTTACCTTCCCGCTAGTAAGCGGTCCCTATTTATCTACTTGCACCCGAAGGTGCTTTCGAACTGCTAGGTTGGCAGGCGCTGGGACCGAACGACGGGAGCGCACCCCGCCGCGGGGATTCGAACCACCAACCATGCGATCGGCAAGTCCTAGGCGCTGAGGCTTTAACCCACAGCGCCACCCGCGTCCCGCAGAGGTAGAGGCATATTCAAAAGACCCAAGTGGGGGCAGCTTAAAAGAGCAGGTGAACAGTTTCACAAGGGCTTACAGAATAATATTCCATGTGTTTTCAAACACTGACGAAAACGATTCAGATGAGTCACCTTTATTTACTCACTGCTCCTGAATTTTTAAAGGCGGCATAGCCTTACAACGGATCAAGGAGGTTTACAAACCTCCGAGCCATCTCCTTGATCATCAAAAATGCCTGTCTGGTGACCACAGCCCTGTGCCCCTGCGTGCCGGTGGACATCCCTGGCTGCCCTCAGGGCTGATTTCATCGCCGTGTCAATCCAACCATGTGGCAAAGCCGTGTGCTCTCCGGCAAAATAGACCCTCCCCTCCTTCCGGGCGAGGGCCTCCATGTGTTCGCTCAGCTGGTAAGGCCTGAAGAGGGTGAAGGCCCCCATGGCGTGGGGGTCCAGGTTCCATTTTTTGACCACCCACCGGCTGCAAAGACGCCTCAGTTCTTTCAGGGGGCGCCGGTGGATAGTGGACAAGTCCCTCAGAACCACGTCGACAGCCTGTTGGGGGCTGAGGGGGGCGAAAAACTCCGAGTCGTCCCCGTAAGTCTGGGAGCCCAGGATGACCCCCAGGCCGCTGGAGAAGTTGTGGTTGGGGTAAGTGGTGATCCTGGAGGGCAGGTCACTGATGGAGGTTCCACCGTAGATCTCTTCTCCTTCTTCCTCCCAGAACTTCTTAGCACAGGCCAAGGCCACTTTGGTGGCTCCTGTGGAGCGCAGAGAACGGAGCGCCTGGGTCTTGGCAGGCGAGAGGGGAGGGTGGAAGCGGATGAGGCGTGTGGCCTCTGCCGTGGACGTGACGATGACGTAGTCAGCCAGGATGGTGCCCGGCGAGGCCAGGGAGCTGGAAGGATGGTAGAGCACCAAAACCGTGTCCCCTTCTCTGAGAATCTCTGTCACGGTACTGTTGAGCATCACGGTGCCAGCTGGGAGCGACTGGTGAATAGCCCTGGGCAGCATATCGAACCCGCCAGCAATTTCATCGTACCTGGAGGTCAAGAAAAGGCTGGAGAAGTCGTTTCTGCTAGACATGCTCATTCAACTACCAGGAGTGTGTGTGTGTGTGTGTGTGTGTGTGTGTTTGTTTATTTATTGAATTTATATAAAGTGGAATATTGGTTCTCGAACTTAATTCGTTCCGGAAGTCCGTTCGACTCTCGAAACGTCCCAGACATGTGGGCAGGGGAGTGGGATTCCTCATTAGGCCCTCCACACTTCCACACCTTCTGATCCCTCCACCCGTTCCCACGTGTTTAGCAGAATAAAAAGGTAAAGGGACCCCTGACCATTAGGTCCAGTTGCAGAAGACTCTGGGGTTGCGGCGCTCATCTCGCTTTATTGGCCGAGGGAGCCGGTGTACAGTCATGTGGCCGGCATGACTAAGCTGCTTCTGGCGAACTAGAGCAGCACACGGAAATGCCATTTACCTTCCCACTGGGGTGGTACCTATTCATCTACTTGCAATTTGATGTGCTTTTGAACTGCTAGGTTGGCAGGAGCAGGGACCGAGCAATGGGAGCTCACCCCATCGCGGAGATTCAAACCGCTGACCTTCTGATTGGCAAGTCCTAGGCTCTGTGGTTTAACCCACAGCACCATCCACGTCCCAATGTTTAGCAGAATACTGAAAAGTAAATTCCCCTTCATGGGGAATTTCCCCCAGGGAGGCAGCACCTATGCAACCGGCTTTTATTACCTCTTTTCACGGGTAAACAGGAAAACTTCTCGGAGGAATTCAATGAAACTGCGGGAAAACTCCGCGCTCAGGTTCATCAGGTCTCCAATCATTCGGATGGCTGCGTAGCTTAGATTTCCCTTTTCAATCAGATAGGCCTGTGAAGGTGGGAGAGTGTATGAGGAATAATATGGCTGCGCTCAAGTGGAAATATTGATAGAACTTAAACACATCTTTGCCTAAAATTCAAAGGCTGTCGTATACCCTAAATTAAAAATAACTAAACTAACAAGTTTTGAAAACCGTGTTCAATGTCAAAACTCAAAGGATGAATTTTCCTTGTTAAAGCTTAACAATTTTCCATCCCACTTCTCAAAGCATGAGTTGTATTCCAAAATCCAAATTTCAGGTGTTGACTTTTAAAAAATTGTACTGTAGACTTTGAAACTGAATGTTTCAAAACAATCGAATTCAATTAAACAAACATTTTTTTATTGCAGTCATTATACACATGGTAGCACTCTGCTGCCCCCTGGTGGCAGAAATGCAAGGTTTTGCAAACCTACATGAACTTGGGCCAACGCTTGTAGTTTAGTTTGGCCAGAACAGACTCATATGAATTATGAATGGATGGAGAGGTCTGCACTTAACAGTGCCAAACCAGACATGGAACTGCCACTGCTCTCTGTCCCTTTGCTATTTCCAACAGCCAGTAAAGTGAGATGGGGCTAGAGAGATGCAAATCACAGCATTGCACAAGCAAGAGCATTTCCATGTCTTGTGTATCATCGAATGGGGCTCTCAATTCCGCAATGTGATGTAATATATATAAAAAGAGGGAGAAGCAGATCCGTGCCACAAACAGCAAATATCACCCACGTATATCAATAAAACTGAGCACCTTGAGAGAATAGGCATCGTATTTTTCAAGCACATGGCTGCAGTTTGATCTCACCAAGTCCTCTTCTAACTGAAAGGCACAAACGAAGATGAATTGTTGTAGGACTATCCTTGAATGGCAAAGTGTGTCCTCCTTTTCTCCCCATCAACCTCAGGTTTAGAGAAACAGAAGGTTAAATGATGATGATGATGATGATGATGATGATGATGTTAGACTTCTATACCACCCTTCAGCCAAATATCACATAGTTTAAAACATAAAATAAAAACAAAAATAAATAAAAACTGCTTCACCCTTGTATACCTGGAGGAGCATCTCCGCTAGCACTGAGATCCAGCTCCCATGGCCTTCTGGAGGTTCCTCATTGCAAGAGGTGAGGCTACAGGGAACCAGGCAGAGGGCCTTCTCGGTAGTGGCACCCGCCTTGTGGAATGCCCTCTCATCAAATGTCAAGCAGATAAACAGCTATGTGATTTTAAAAGACATCTGAAGGCAGCCCTGTTTAGAGAAGTTTTTAGTGTTTGATGTTGCATTGTGTTTTTGCTATTTTTTTTTGTTGGGAGCCACACATATGTTCTAGGTCTAACTGAATTATCACTGTCGAGACTTCTTACATTTCACTTCCCTTTGGCACCACTGTGTACAACTATGCCCATTTGCAGACGTGTGTGTGTGTGTGTGTGTGTGTGTGTGTGTGTGGTCTTCCAAAGCAACTACTCTATTCTGAACTTAAAAATGGAAAACGTAATGCTGGTGGTCAACAAAAGAGGTTTAAAGACTGTCTCAAGGCAAATCTTAAAAAATGTAGTATAAACACTGACAACTGGGAAACACTGGCCTGCGAGTGCTCCAGTTGGAGAACAGCCTTTACCAAAGGTGTCATGGGCTTTGAAGACACTCGAACTCAGGACACAAGGGAGAAATGTGCTAAGAGGAAGGCACGCTTGGCAAACCCACACCATGATCAACTCCTGCCTGGAAACCAATGTCCCCACTGTGGAAGAACGTGTGGATCCAGAACTGGCCTCCACAGTCATGGACTCATTGTTAAAAATGTGTTTATGGAAGACAATCTTACTCGGCTATGAGTGAACGCCAAAGAAGATGAAGAAGATATATAGTGTGTGTGTGTGTGTGTGTGTGTGTGTGTGTGTGTGTGAACGCCACACTAAAAAGTGTTAGTCTTTAAGATACCACAGGTCTCCTGGCAGTTTTTGCTGCAGCAGAGTAGCACAGATACCCCTCAGGCAGGCTGGTATGGCTCCCTGCTAACCTGTTGGCAACTGTGTTCACAAACACATGCATGCACACACTCTCTCTCATTTATTCCATAAAATTTATACACTATTTGATGTTTTTTTTAAAAAAAAACCAACAAAACACCTCAAAGCAGTTTACAAAAAGAAACTCACCGGTTTCAACGCTTCGTAATACAGCTCCACAGCAGACCTCCCACGTTCGGAGGGATCTACAGGGTATCCCAGAATGTCTGGATCCTTCTCCACCTCTTTGACTCTGGCTCGGATATTGTTCACCAGGTACCAGGCGTTGCCATTGCCGTCTGAATAATGGTTTAATTTCAGGCCATATTTTGCAACATATTCCCGGACAATTCTGCACGGAGGTAGAGAGAGCCAATGGGCTGATCAGAGGGGAAGAGTAGGAGGAAAGATGGTAACAGAGGGGAAGAATGGGTATTAAACATAAAGGGGTGTGTTTATTATGCCATTAGTCTTTGATTTCCCGTGTTTAGTTTTTCTGCATAGTTTGTTCCCTTATTGTGCCTCCTGTTCCGTTGCCGTGGTCTACCAGAGTCTTACCCATGTCCCGTCAGAGACTTTACTGTATAGGGTGGAGAACTTTGACGAGGAAAGGGTTCAGGAAACCTCCTCAAAGAACCACCAGCATCTCATTCACAGGTTGGTCCTCATCCATGACAGGGCCTTTTCAGTGGTGGTCCCCAGGTTGTGGAATGTGCTACACAGTGAGGTGTTCCTGTCTCCATCAAGGAGAGATTTGTATAGGTTCCTGCTTACACAGGAATTTGGTGTCTGAAGAATACTGTTCCTGGCAATCTCGCGATGGATGTGTGTTTTTCACTGTAGTTGCTTTTAGAAGTTTTAAAACTGTAACACCTTTTAGATGTTTTTAATTCTTTTTTATTATGTTTTGATCTGTTTTATAAGATTTCTCTTTGTTCCTGTTTTTAAATTGCATACATGCTTGCCACCCTGAACTCCTTAGAAGAAGGGTATGGTATAAATTAGATAAATAAACAGGCAAAAAACAAACAAACCCAAACACACCAGAGGCCTTCTGGCAACACAGGCCTGCCACCGTTCCCTGCAGTATCTCTGTCTTTCCAACCTCCCAGAAGCAGGGTCCCCTGCCATACTTCTGTCATCCCAACCTCACAGAAGCCAAAGACTTTAAAATAAGCTGAGGGCCCTTTAACTACCCAGCCAGCACCTCTAGACTGGCAGAGCCTACCAGATTTGATCAGCCTGCATAATACTTCCATTGGTACTAGCTCTCTGCACAGACAACATTTCAGGTAGCCTCTTGCCTTAGCATGACTCATTGGAGCTGTCCAAGGTGCTGAAAGCTTATCACTTGCCCTGGGAGCTTCCCACTCCCACAGAACTGGACAGTCGCTGGGTAGGTTGCAACCTGCAGAGTCGCCTTTTAATTCTGCTGCTGGAACAGGAGATGAAAGGGATGTGGCTTCTCTCCCCCATTATTCTCCCACCCCATCGTCCCATACCTGCTGCAACAAGCTGGATCCCAGCAGGTGGGAAAGGGTGTGGACTAGAGGAAAACAAAACTGGGGGAAGCCCCAACTGTCTCTTCTGAATCAGGAGCAGAAACAAAGTTAAAAGGGGAATATCTCTAGCCTGCAACTTGGCAATCATATGGCCTGTTGCTGGAGCAATCTCTCTCTCTCTCTCTCTCTCTCTCTCTCTTTCTTTTCCCCAAAAGCTGGTTCCAAATATTCTGTCACACTCTAGCATGACCAAGAAGCACGGCCCCAGAAACAGGAAGCCTGAATTCATAATGGCTGGGATCAGCAAGAGATTAAGGAACAGGTTCAACTCTTACCCAGTCGTGTCAGTGTACCTTTGCATCCTGACATATGGGGGAATGGCTGTCATCCATTCGTATGGGGGAAAGGTAAGGTGCTACATTTGGGGACATGATGAGACGGAGGGCCCTCTCCCTCTGAAACTGGACACTCCACTTCTGCTGACTTTGATCATGCAGGGGAAGTTGTAGTGCGGAGGAGCCAGCGTGGTGTAATGGTTAGAGTGTCGGACTAGGACCTGGGAGACCAGGGTTCAAATCCCCACTCAGCCACAAAGTCCACTGGGTGACCTTGAGCCACTCACTGCCTCTCAGCCTAACCTACCTCACAGTGTTGCTGTGGGGATTAAATGGGGAAGGGGAGAACCATGGAGGCCCCTTTGAGCTCTTGGGGGGAAAGGTGGCGACAATACAAATGCAAATAAATGAATGGATGAAGTATGCAATGACCAAACATTCAAAAAAAACTTTCTGACAGCAAGAGCAGTTCAGCAGTGGAACAGACTCCAATGAGAGGTGGTGGACTCTCCTTCCTTGGAGGTTTTTAAGCAGAGGTTGGGTGGCCATCTGTCATGGATACTTTAGCTGAGATTCCTGCATTGCAGGGGGCTGGACTAGATGACCCATGGGGTCCCTTCCAACTGTAAGATTTAGTGACCACAGGGATCCACTGCACACCACAGGGTCCCCTAAAATTGCAACGTCTCCCATCTCTGCACATGCTGCATGACATGATAACGGGCATTTTACCACCAGACTCATTTCAGTTTTGTTCTTGATTTTGTTCTCATTGAGTCACAGAATTGCAGAGTTGGAAGGGACACCCCAAAGGTCATCTAGACCAACCCTCTGCAACGTAGGAATCGCTGCTAAAGAATCCCTGACAGATGGCCGCCGAACCTCTGCTTAAAAACCTGCAATGAACGACAGTCCACCGCCTTCTGAGATAAGTCTGTTTTACTGTCAAACAGCTCTTACCATCAGAAAGCTCTTCCTAATATTTAGTTGGAATGTCCTTTCTTGCCATTTTGAATCCATTGGTTCAGGCCCTACCCTTCGGAGCAGCAGGAAACAAGCTCCTTTCACCTCCTATGTGATAGCCCTCCCTATATTTGAAGAAGAGAAGAAGAAGAGTTTGGATTTGATATCCCGCTTTATCACTACCCGAAGGAGTCTCAAAGCGGCTAACATTCTTCTTTCCTTCCTCCCCCACAACAAACACTCTGTGAGGTGAGAGGGGCTGAGAGACTTCAGAGAAGTGTGACTGGCCCAAGGTCACCCAGCAGCTGCATGTGGAGGAGCGGAGACGCGAACCCGGTTCACCAGATTATGAGACTACCGCTCTTAACCACTACACCACACTGGCTCTCATTTGAAGGTGGCTGTCATACCAACTCTCTTTTCTCCTGTCAAATGTTATCAGCCGCACACCACCATGGGAATATCACTGCCCCTTCTTACCTGTGGCTGAAAGGCAGGCGCCTCGGGCCCAAATCTACATACCAGCCCCCCTCGGGATCACGGTAAGTCTCCATCCTGCCTCCCACGCAGCTGCTGGCTTCTAGAATTGTCACCTGGGGGGTGGGCAAAAGAAGAACTATAATTGCAGTGGTTGCAAAACGGCCTCCACCGAACAATGCTGAAGAAGGTGCCAATGGGAAAGGGCCAAAGTGTTTGTTTTATGAGAATAGAAGAAGAAGAGTTTGGATTTGATATCCCGCTTTATCACTCCCCTTCAGGAGTCTCCAAGCGGCTAACATTCTCCTTTCCCTTCCTCCCCCACAACAAACACTCTGTGAGGTGAGTGGGGCTGAGAGACTTCAGAGAAGTGTGACTGGCCCAAGCTCACCCAGCAGCTGCATATGGAGGAGCAGGGAATCGAACCCGGTTCACCAGATTACGAGTCTATCGCTCTTAACCACTACACCACCAGTCCAATATTTATAGTCCTGATTATAGCAGCTTTCCTCAGCCTCCAGATGTTGGACTGCAACTTTCATCAGCCCCTGCCAGCATGGCAAATGGTCAGGGATGATGGGAGCTGTAGTCCCTGGAGAGCCAAAAGCTGAACGATCTGTCACTGGCACCTTATTCTAGGCAGGTTAAGCAAATTATATCATTCAGGTGTCTGAGATGTCTGGTGACTCATACTGATTTCATTCATTCATCTCCGGTGAGTTTATAATTAAGACTTACAAGCCTTGGATATTTTCTGTTACCTTTCAGAAGTTGCTGCCACAATGGATCTGCTGGTGTTATTCTTATTCAAGGGCAATTATCAACTTGCTGTCAGATTACTTAGCCTGAATGTTCAGCCTGCTAAGTTTGCCTGGAAGTTACACTGTTGAGGAATGCTTGATGCACTGGGGACTGGCAAAATGGACAAGATCAGGGGTAAAGTCTGCTCTCAGAATGGACTTAGGCTGGTGGCACTGAGGGCAGCAGAAATGGACCCTGTTGATATCTTATTGAAACACAAACTGCAAGAAGCATCTTTCTGTAGAAGAAGCTACTAGAGAGTGGGGACTGTGCAGATTCAAAATGGCCAAGTTTGCAGGAACATCAGCTTTGAGTTCATTGAGTCGGAAGGACTGGGCAGGGTGCTTCGGGTATGCAAGCTCTGACTCGCATTCAGCTGCTGCTGAAGTTTGGGTTGTATTGTGTAGGCTAGGGGTCAGCAAACTTTTTCAGCAGGGGGCCGGGCCACTGTCCCTCAGACCTTGTGAGGGGCCGAAAAAAATATATGAATGAATTCCTGTGCCCCACAAATAACCCAGAGATGCATTTTAAATAAAAGCACACATTCTACTCATGTAAAAACACCAGGCAAGCCCCACAAATAACCCAGAGATGCATTTTAAATAAAAGGACACATCCTACTCATGTAAAAACACACTGATTCCCAGACCGTCCATGGGCCGGATTGAGAAGGCGATTGGGCCAGATCCGGCCTCGGGGTCTTAGTTTGCCTACCCATGGTGTAGGCTCTTCTTCGGTGGTTGGGGCAGACTCCCCTTGGGAGGCACAGAACAGCTGGAAGGGTGCAGATGCCAGCAGTGTTGGCTCTGTATTCTGGAGGGCTGGTGGGCAAGACTCCTTTCCCTCCAAGAGTCTAGCTCCTCTCGACTTTCACAGGCAGCTGATTCTCCTCATCACCACTGCTGCCATTGGCTTGCTTGCCAGGGAGAGAGCCAATCAGCAGGCAGTGGCAACTGCTGCTCTGCCTCCCAGCCACCACTTTTCCCTAAGGTGGAAAAGTGCAGCTGTGTGCAAGTCGAGTGGGGAGCCACCTGCAATTGCTGCTTTGTTTCAGTGGGGTTTCCCTGTACAACAGCAAGGTCAAGCTTCTTCACTTTATCTGGGGAAGGGGCATGGCTCAGCAGCAGTGCATCTCCCTTGCATGCAGAAGACCCCAGGTTCAGTCTCTGCCATCTCCGGGTACGGTTGGGAAAGACCCTCTGTCTGAAATATTGGAGAGCTGCTCAGTAAACAATCCTTAAGCTAGGAGGACCATGGGTCTGTGTTATGTACTGAGTTGAATAGGATCCAAAATGCAGCAGTCTGATTGGTCCTAGAACAATAGGATCCAAAATGCAGCATTCTGATTGGTCCTAGAACAATAGGATCCAAAATGCAGCAGTCTGATTGGTCCTAGAACAATAGGATTCAAAATGCAGCAGTCTGATTGGTCCTAGAACAATACAGCAGTGTGATTGGTCTGCAGGAGCCACCCAATCCAGCTCCAGGTGGAAGGGAATCCACAACCTGATTGGCCTACAGGAGAATCCCGGAATTAGCCAATCACGTGCAGCCCATTGTGTAAATAATGTATATAAAGCAGATACTTTGGGGAAACTTTCATTCCTCCTCACCACTATGAGCTGAATAAAGAGCATGAAATCCACTCTCGACTCTGAGTATATTTCAGTCTGGTTTAGCAAAGGAGAGTTTCCTACGCTCCTATGTCTGCAACTTCAGAGATGTCTCTTCCTTTGCTCTCCTTTCTAAGGTCAGTGCTGGATTAGTGCCCTGATCAACAGATCTTTTGCACACACCAAGATACCCACAGACAGCAGTGCGCAAGGATCTTTGCATGCTCTGCTGCGTTACAGATGTCTGGTCCTGGGACAGGAGGGCAGACAGCAGAATAAATTTTGGTGGGGGGTCGGAGCTAGCTCCAAAACAAAATTGAGAAAAACAGGACACGAGACAGGTAGGTGAATTCTGGTGCTTTCAATCAGCTAACATCTTGAAAACGTCACATTCTGGAGGAACTGTTTGTCAGAGATTACCCAAGGTCCCTGAGGAAAAGGTCTGTTTTTCTGGTTATGATTACAGCTCTGCTTCAGAACAGATGCACCTGTATAAATAAAGCCACAAGATCTGACTCATTGGCAACGGCTCTGTTGGGAAACCAGACTGCTGTGCCTTGGTTAGCTCCTTGGCAAAGTGTCAACCGATTTGGGGTCAAAAATACATGGGTGATCCTGACCTATTCTGGATCTCCATTCCCATGCATGGCATAGGAAGCTGCCTTTGTACTAACCAGATGCAATCCAGCCAAGCAAAAACACTTGTGCAATGCAGCAATGTAAAGGGACCCTGACCATTAGGTCCAGTCATGGCCGACTCTGGGGTTGCAGCGCTCATCTCGCTTTACTGGCCGAGGGAGCCGGCGTACAGCTTCCGGGTCATGTGGCCAGCATGACTAGGCCGCCTCTGGCGAACCAGAGCAGTGCACGGAAACGCCGTTTACCTTCCCGCCGGAGCAGCACCTATTTATCTACTTGCACTTTGATGTGCTTTCGAACTGCTAGGTTGGCAGGAGCAGGGACCGAGCAACGGGAGCTCACCCCGTCGCGGGGATTCGAACTGCTGACCTTCTGATCAGCAAGTCCTAGGCTCTGTGGTTTAACCCACAGCGCCACCCACGTGCCTAATGCAGGGATGTAGCCGGGGAGAATTTTGAGGGCCAGATGTAGAAGCCTGGAGGGGCAAATTCCACACCCTGGCTATCTACCTTCCCCATTCTCTTGAATATGTCTTGCACATTGTGGCACGGCAGGTCGCCAATAAAACAGAGGCTTGCAAGATTTGCAAAAACAACAAAAGATGTGATCATTCCTGCCATCTACATATTTAATTGCCTGGCGGTTTGTGCAACTGCACACTCCGTGGCCCACCCAGTTTTTTCATTTGTTTTTCATAAGCTTGCCCTGCAGCAGAAAATAGTAATTAAGTCCTGCCAGTTGGCTCTGTTGATGGGGGGAAAGTATATAGCAAACGTGCTAATCCGGGTTATTGGACTGGAATGAGCCTGCTCTGCAGAAGCAGAGGGCGGAGGGGGGGGGGGCAGGCAGACGGGGAATCTAGGCTGAGTGAAGCTCTTGTTTTTCTATTCGCACCTGGGTCTTAAATGGAGCCAGCATCCCCTAGAGGAGTAAGGCTGCTATTGGAGCCACTCAGCCCCTGGACCTGCCAAACTATGCTGAGGAAAGCGACGGTATAAGACAGGGGTCACCAACGGGGCATCCTCCGGATTTTCGGGACTACAACTCCCATCAGCTCCCAGCCAGAGTGGGATGATGGGAGCTGTAGTCCAGAACATCTCAAGAGTACAACGTTGACAGGTGCCACCATGATGAAAGCTGTATATGCCGTAGAGACCATATCGTTATGCCTAGGACCCTCGTACCTACGGGACCGCCTCTCCCGGTATGCCCCACGGAGGACCTTAAGGTCCATAAATAGCAACATCCTAGAGGTCCCGGGCCCTAAGGAAGTCAGATCAGCCTCAACCAAAGCCAGGGTCTTTTCTACACTGGTGGAATGCTCTGTCTCATGAGACAAGGGCCTTGTGGGAACTGATTTCTTTCCGCAGGGCCTGTAAGACAGAGTTGTTCCACCTGGCCTTTGGCTTGGAGTCAATTTGATTCCCTCCCCCTCTTTCGTTTTTCCTTTCTCCTCCTGTGATGAGGCTGCATTTTAATGTTTTAATGTTGTATTTTAATCTTGTTTTTAAGTTGTATTCATTCAACTCGTTTTTATTAACCCTGAGCCTGGCCTTGGCTGGGGAGGGCGGGGTATAAATAAATCTTCTTCTTCTTCTTCTTCTTCTTCTTCTTCTTCTTCTTCTTCTTCTTCTTCTTCTTCTTCTTCTTCTTCTTCTTCTTCTTCTTCTTCTTCTTCTTCTGAAAGGCTATCCTCTGTATTCTCAGGCACCAGAAAGGGGGACATCTTTTTAATTTCCCACAATACCGTGGAGGGATGCTGTGTCAGGAGCACTGTAGGAAATTAAAACAGCAGCTCCCAAGCCCAGTCATCTGGAGCAAATGTTTGTCTAAATGGGAGCCCAAGGCAAGGATCACTTATAGTCCCTTCCAGAGTGCTGTGTCCCCAGCATCTGCCTGAAAATGCCAGGCTTGGTACTTTGAAATGTAAACCTGGCTCTATAAAGACCAGGGCTTGAAAACTGGAAGACAGTCTCAGGAACGCACATACCATCCTCCTCCTATTCCCTCAATCCCTTTTGAGGACAAAATTCTCCCTTTGTTGGCTTTAACCAGTGCTTTTTTTCTATAAAAAAAATGTTCAGGGGTACTCTCATTTTCCTACTCATATTGAAATACTGCCCTTCAATGAGGCCAAACTTAGATTCACAAAATGTTTAGGGGCATGCGTACCCCTGCGTACCCCCCAGAAAAAAAGCACTGGCTTTAACCATGGTTTAGCATTACATATACGCCGAGGTTAGCTATGGTTCCTTTTCAGGTGCATTCCCAGTGCTAGCTTTAACTGTTGTTTGCAAGAAATCAGGATTACATCTGCACCAGGTCACACTGGAAGCAAACCCTTGGTTTCCCCCAGAATATGCATGGGATGGCTAAACAACAATCTATATTTCATACACGTCCATCGTTTTCTTTTCCCGGCTTGCAAACCCGTGTGCAGAAACCATTGTCCCAATTTTTTAATCATTTGGTAGGGCCACTCTGGTGTTGCTTCAGAGACTGGATCAGCTTGAAACACTGCCTTGTGTCTTTAAATCCAAACATCCAGAGCGAGATAAGAGTTTGGGCAAGGTTGGCTGAAGATTGTGAATCAAGAGGGCGGGATTTGGGCTTGACTTACAGGAAAGTGGGCAACCAGGGAGAGGGCCTTCTCGGTAGTGGCACCCATCCTGTGGAACACCCTCCCATCAGATAAGCATTGTAATGTGTAATGCTTCATTATGTTTTTATATACTGTATGTTGGAAGCCGCCCAGACTGGCTGGGGCAACCCAGTCAGAGGGGCAGAGTACAAATACAAAATTGCTGTTATTATGCAACCCTGCCTCACCTGCCCTTGCTTCTCACCCTGCCAATGCCTCCCCATCTCCTTGGCCCCATCACCTTGTGTCCAGCGTCCAGCAGCACTTTCCCAGCTGTAAGTCCAGCAACTCCGGCTCCCACAATCGCAATCCGTCTCGGTTCTTCAGTTTTGCCCAGCCCATCCTTAGCAATATCCAGCAGCCCCTCATATTCTGGATCCTCAAAACATCTCTCTAAGGGGCTGGGCGTGCTCTTCCGCAGCAGGAGCAGAGCGGCAAGGCCTAGAAGCACTAAGAAGACACACAAACATCAACAGCCTAAGAACATAAGAAGAGTCTTGCTGGATCTATTTTAATGGCTTGATTCTTCAACATCAACTTCGTTGGACTGGTCATGTTGTGCGGATGCCTGATTATCGTCTTCCAAAGCAACTACAACGGTACCTCGGGTTACAGATGCTTCAGGTTACAGATGCTTCAGGTTACAGACTCCGATAACCCAGAAATAGTACCTCGGGTTAAGAACTTTGCTTCAGGATGAGGACAGAAATTGTGCAGTGATGGCGTAGTGTAGGCGGGAGACCCCATTAGCTAAAGTGGTACCTCAGGTTAAGAACAGTTTCAGGTTAAGAACAGACCTCCAGAATGAATTAAGTTCTTAACCCGAGGTACCACTGTACTCTACAGTGGTACCTCGGGTTACATACGCTTCAGGTTACAGACTCCGCTAACCCAGAAATAGTGCTTCAGGTTAAGAACTTTGCTTCAGGATGAGAACAGAAATTGTGCTCCGGCGGCGCGGCGGCAGCAGGCGGCCCCATTGGCTAAAGTGGTGCTTCAGGTTAAGTACATTTTCAGGTTAAGAATGGACCTCCATAGTGAATTAAGTACTTAACCCCGAGGTACCACTGTATTTTGAACTTAAAAATGGAAAGTGCAATGCTGGTGGTTAACGAGGTTTAAAGACTCTCTCAAAGGCAAATCTAAAGAAATGTAGTATAAACACTGACAACTGGGAAACACTGGCCTGTGAGCGCTCCAGTTGGAGAACAGCCTTTACCAAAGGTGTCGTGGGCTTTGAAGGCACTCAAACTCAGGACGAAAGGGAGAAACGTGCTAAGAGGAAGGCACGCTTGGCAAACCCTCACTGTGATCAACTCCCGCCAGGAAACCAATGTCCCCACTGTGGAAGGATGTGTGGGTCCAGAATTGGCCTGCACAGTCACTTACAGACTTACTGCTAACACCGTGTTCATGGAAGACAAACTTACTCAGCTACAAGTGATCACCAAAGAAGAAGAAGAAGAAGAGTGGCTTGTTCTAACAGTGGCCAACGAGGCGCCCATGGGAAACATACAAGCAAAGATGTGAGGCTACTTTCCTCTCTCTTCTGATATCTTGGCAACCACATGAATGCAGGGGCGCCGACTTATAAAAAATATTGGGGGGGCCTGCCCCGGGAAGTTTTCTAAATTTTAGATGAAAATTAGTGAGTTTTAAAGTTTTTTAAAAGTAATCACTAAAGTCGGAACGCTAAACACGTCTGCAGCATGCACTGAACGAAACTATCCACACTGAATGACTGCGCCAGCAGGGTGGGCTTTATATAGCCGCGGCGTCGTAATGTCTCGAAGCGTCAAGGCGACGCGAGGTGGAGGATTCCAGGCGCTTCTGCTCCAGTCCTTTTGATGTCGCCGCGGCCGCAGCGCTGGCCCGCCAGACTTTACACGAAGGTTCGCGCACCGGGACAAATTCTAAGTGTGCCCGCAGCACCGTAACACTATCATGATTCACTATGACATTATGTTTGCTGACTGGGAACAGTTATGGACCACCGGTGTTAAGTTCACGGCATGTAATGCCTTAAGAGAAAATATCATGAAAATGATTTACAGGTGGTACATGACCCCAGTCAAGTTTGCAAAAAATTATCATTTGCCCAATAACAAATGTTGGAAATGTAATGAGGCTGAAGGTACTTTCTACCACCTTTGGTGGACCTGTCCGAAGATTAAAGCCTTTTGGGAAATGATCTATAATGAAATTAAGAAAGTCCTTAAAAGGACTTTTCCTAAGAAACCTGAGGCTTTTCTCTTGGGCATGGTGGGCCAATTGGTGTTAAGGAAGGATAGGACGTTTTTTATGTATGCTACCACGGCAGCAAGGATACTTTTAGCAAAGTATTGGAAGACGCAAGAACTACCCACGCTGGAAGAATGGCAGACGAAGGTGATTGACTATATGGGACTGGCGGAGATGACTGGCAGAATCCGTGACCAGGGGAAAGAGACAGTGGAAGAAGACTGGAAGAAATTTAAAATATATCTTAAAAACTGTTGTAAAATTGAGGAGTGATAAGATGTCAAGGAATAGGGAAATAGAGAATTGCAGCTGTAATCAATAAGTTAAAGAAGAACTTAAAAGAAATTGAATTGAATAATTAGTTAATTGGAGGAGTTGCTGAAGAAATGTAAAACAAGGAAGCAGAAAAAGGGAGGTATGGGGAAGTCCGGGAAGTAAGGTGTATGAAAACAAGTGTATGAAATTATACATGTTTATATGTTTGTATGTCTGTGTATTGTGCATTGTTTGTTTTTATTTTGTGTTTGGAAAACCAATAAAAATTTATTTTAAAAAAAACAAAACACTATCATGATTCACACCACTCTTTTCAGTTAACCTGCTTACTACCGTAATAATTATTTGTTTTAACTCATTACTGAATGTATTTTAAAAGGTAACTATCGTCAAACAAGGAAAATAAAAAATACCAACATAATTTTGTGATTTTACAAAGCATAATATAACTAATAATTTTCTTAAATTATTGGGGGGGGAGGGGGGAGTGGAGGGCGAAGGATAATGGGGGGGTGACTGAGTCTCCCAAGTAAGACAAATGCTGAAAACAGCTAATATAACGATAAATGCAAGGCAAATAAAACTATAAAATAAAGGCACAACCGACAACAATAGGACGGAAGGTCAATATGAGCCAGAAGGGAGCCGCAGCACGGGGAAGGGTAAAACTATAAATTAAAGGCACAGCCAGCAACCATATGGGGGGGAGGGGGTTGGTAAGGGAAATCAGAGTCAGGAGGGAGCCACGATGGGGGCGGAGGGTGCCTGTGGGGGTAAACAAAGCACGGAGAGAGACACAAGGGGTTTGAAGGACAATGGAGGCTTGGGTCCGTGTAAGGTAAGCAGCCTCAATGTAATGTCTGCAAAGAGATGCCCACTTTCAGCCATTTTAAGCACAATTTCAATGCCTGCACCCCCAACCAATACTAAGACCGCTCAAAATCAGCAGCTTGAGGAGCAGTTTAAAGAGACAAGCATTGCTTCCGGGAAGGGAAAAACTTCCGGAGGTACACACAGACCCGGTGGGCAAATATACCCCCCCCACGAACTCTGCACACACACCAGCAGATTCAAAGTAAAGCGTTTCTGCAATCGCACAAACACTCAATATATCCACACACAGTCTCAGGACACACCCCACAGATTTAAACAATCGCTTCTGCAAACCCACAGACTCTCCAATTAAGGAAAGCCTTTAGCAGTAAGAGGGGTAATATTAGCAGAGTAGAATTAGCACCCACAAAAACGTAGCAGTGAAAGCTCCCCCGCTTTTTTCCCCAAACAGCGCAGCAACGTTGAAGACACACACACACTCCAAATTAGCTAAACAAGGAGGCTAGATGGGATGTACAAAGAGACTCCCCAGATAGAGCAAATCAACACACACACACTCCACTTGCACACACAGAGGCACTCAACCCTCCCAAATCAACTATCGTAGAGAAAAGGTAAGGCAAAACTTCTCTGTTAAAGCTTCTCTTCTTAGTCAGATCCACGTGGTCGTCGCTGCTGGGAACGAACGGGGGAGGCGGAGCTGGCCCCGCAGCATTAAGCTGCTAAACACGCCCACCGGAGACACCTGGTTGGCTGCCTCCGGTGGGCGTGGGTGCCAGCCCAGGTGAGGAGGGGCGGGGGCTAAGGCCCCCGGCCAGGAGGCGGAGCTCGGGCTCCGGGGCGGGGGCTAAGGCCCCCGGCCAGGAGGCGGAGCTCGGGCTCCCGCCCACAACCACTCCCCTCTCTTCCAGGGAGAAGAGTCTTAATAATTTTCTTAAATTATTGGGGGGGCGGAGCCCCCCCAAACGAATTATTGAGGGGGCTCAGGCCCCCTCAGGCCCCATGGAGTCGGCGCCTATGCATGAATGCCCACGGAAGATAGTTAGCTCTTCATTGTCAAAGCTGACACTTACAGTAGTTTCCTCAGCTCCGAATACCTGCACACACCAGCCTTGCATCTAGGCAGCTATTCTACGCTCTATGGAGGAGTTGCAGCAACAGGGGGCCATGCCCCCTTCACCAGCTTATGCACCTCCCCACGACAGGCTGCACACATGCAGCCAGAGACTACGCCTTTGTGGAAGCTGCCTCTGCTCTTCCCACTTCTGTTCGCTCCTGGTTCTGGGAGACAGTGGTGCAGGAGAGGGTCGGGAAGCCTCCGGCCCTTCGCTTGCCTGACCTGCTTCTTCCTCCAGCTCTGAAGCTTCCCCTGCCTCTGATTCTCGCCTCCTGGCTGGTACAGGTCCCCACAAATCCATGCTCCCCTCTCCTGAGTCAGACTCCAGTCCTGGTTTTCCCAGGCACCAGTTGTGCAATACATGTGTAGCTGCTGCTTGTTTGTTCTGCAGGGTCTTGGTTTCTCCCCTCCAAGAAGCTTCTCTGCTTTGAGGATTTGCTTTGGCAATAAAGGGTATGGGCAGAAGGAAAACTTCCCTTTATGGCAATGCACTGCAGTGGCAATATCTTGCTGCTGAGGGAACCACCAGCAGCAGCACTTCTCAAGGGCCACAGCACTTGCAGGTTTGATCAGTTGCACAAGCGTTTTATTGAACAGTGTCTACCACTTTGCCAATGAACACAGCACTCCTTTCATTTCTTGCTGCAAGGCTCAGTAGCTGGTCCACAAACCAGAAACTGAAACAGGAGCTGAAACTCGCTTGTCTCAAGGCCAGATGCGGAAAACTATATTCTGGTATTTTCAAACTACAAGATCTTATTTTGGATTAGAGGCTTCAGTATGACTCAGAGGGTTTCTCCAGACTGTTTGTAGTCATGATGAAGGAAGTCACAGTGTATGATTGGTTGAGAGATCAGGAGCTACTTCTGGCAAGCAAAAACACTTTGTCCTTCGAGCCGGAATCGAACCAGCGACCTAAGGATGGCTTGGATGACAATCTACAGTCCTCCGCTCTACCAGCTGAGCTATCGAAGGAACAAGCCCAAAGCTCTGCCTTGTTCTTTTTAACTTGGGATGCGGCTTCCTTAAAAAAAAATTAAAAAAAGGCAGCGATTGGCCTACAGGGCATGGAACTGGAATTTCAATGAAAGCTTCCCTATATTCCTTGAGAAATCTTGGCACAAAGTCATGACACTGCAGAGGCAAGGGCAGCGGCTGTTGATGATGGATGACAACATCATCTTAAGATGCACACTGACTGCAAGTTAAGTCAATGAACTGAGATGAGGGGGACCCCTTATAACAGAGATGGGGAACCTGTATGCCTATCCAGAAGTTGTTGGAAGTACAGCACCTAAGAGCCCCAATGGGCAGGGATGATGTTTAGTCCATAAACATCTAGTAGAGGTGTGATGAACCTTTGGTCCTTCCAAATGCTGCTGAACTACAACTCCCATCATCCTTGGCCATTGGCCATGCTTGCTTACGCTGATGGGAGTTGTAGTTTAGTTCATTCATTCATTCATTTTATTTTTATGCTACTTTTACACACACACACACACACACACACACACACACACCATCCTCAAAGCAGCTTAAAACAAGGGACGCATTACAGCAAGGGATATATTTCAAACAAACACTACAAAAACAATTCTCCCATACCTGTTCTAAAGAAGAGAAGTGGCCTTCTCAGGCCCAAAAAGAAGGGATGGAGATTTACCTTGGTCGTTTATTTCGAAAGCTTTTCATGTTTCAACGCAACAGCCTGCTAACCATTGTGCTGGCTTCTGCCAATGAAGCAACTTAGTTTAAATCCAGCCCAGGATTTTTAAAGGTTATGCTTGGGGGTTTTCTTACTATCTTTATATATATATATATATATATATATATATATATATATATATATATATATATATATTATATATATATATATATATATATATATATATATATATATATATATATATATGGAATGAACAAATTCCTATGCCCCTCGGTTATTCCTATAACCCAGAGATGCATTTAAAATAAAAGCACACATTCTGCTCATGTAAAATCACCAGGCAGGCCCCACAAATAACCCAGAGATGCATTACAAATAAAAGGACACATTCTACTCATGTAAAAACACGCAGATTCCCAGACTGTCCGTAGGCCGGATTTAGAAGGTGATTGGGCCGGATCCAGCCCCCAGGCCTTAGTTTGCCTACCCATGCTTTAGATCTTAGGCTTGCTGGCGGAGAGGCAGGAAGCCTGGGGAAGGCATTCAAAGGGAATATCTCCCATTGAAATTCCAGTTCCACACCCAGCAGGTGCCACACCCACAGTTAAAAGGTGAGGCACAGCACCCTAGGCTTGTCCCTTCGATAGCTCAGCTGGTAGAGCGGAGGACTGTAGACTGCTGCCAAAGTCATCCTTAGGTCGCTGGTTCGACTCCGGCTCGAAGGACAGATTTTTTTTCTTCTTGTTCTTGCCAGATGCATCAGCAAATCACGCAGTAAGACAGTATTTGCATGCAGTGCTGAAATTAGTAGTTTGTGCTTTATATTGGTCCGTAATGTGAAAATTCGAGCCTGTATTGGCTAGCATCTCTGCTTTCAGCGTTATGCCCCCAAAGAACAGCATTCAGAAACGGTGTCATGGAAACTCAAGTGGGTTTTTCCATCTCATGTGTGAAAAATATATTGGACATATGCCAACTTCTTGTTACTTAAGGTTAATGCATCCAAGCCTGTTTCATCCTTTGGCAGTCGTATCAACCCTGGACTGAAAGCTTTCTTGAGGGCCATTTAAAACATCACACACATACACACAGAGGGATAGCTCAATTGGTAGAGCATGGGACTCTTAAAGTTAGGGTGGTGGGTTTGAGCCCCACGCTGCACACAAAAATTCTTGCATTGCCGGGGATGATCCACAGGGTTCTTTCCAACTCTATGATTCCATGACAATCACGCCTGAATTTGTCATTAAACAAATGTATGCTCAGTAGTGGTGACTTGACTGAAAACAACTGTTTCCCTTTCCCCCCTTACATTTTGTTGCCACAGCAATAGCCAAAGAGGCAAGCTGCTTTTTAAACCAAAAAAGTGGCTTGCCTCTTTGGCAACAGGATATGCTGCAGCAAAAATACTTCAAAGCCAGCTAGAAGTGCTTGCACAAATCTTGCTTGCATGTGCCTATAATCTCTTCATGTCACACACACCGAAATCAGAAAATACATTCCACATTTTTTCCTGGACCCCAATATTCCCTTCCAAAACCTGCCAGGAGGAAAAACGATATAGATATTTTAAAAACTATTATTATTGATATGGTGCCCTCAGACATATATTAAAAAATTAGGCTTCTTTGTATAGAACCCTGGTCTTATTGTAAATCTGCATGCAAATCTGTGTGGAGATTCCTTAAGCTGAATTGAGTTCGTATTTTTTCATATGCCATCTGAAAATTTCAGGGCTATTTAGCATCTTTGGCTGAGTACACACCAGACATTAAAGTGCACATCTCCTGGAAAAATACTGGGAACTGTAGTTCACCACTCACAGAACTACAACTCCCAACACCCTTAATAAAGAGGCTCCTGGTGAGACCAGAGGCACATCGCTATGCCTGACAACAAACCCCTAACTATTGGATTCTTTTGCTCCATCTTTTTTTGCCTGCCAAACAGCCATATTAAGCTTATGATAATCTTTTATTCTCTTGTTAAGTATGCTGTTTTCAAATGTGCATTTTATATTTGACTTCACTTAGCAATTTGGGGGGGGGGAATGTTTAAGGGTTTTTTGTTTGTTAACTTTGTGTTAAATATGTATTCTGTAGTTGACCTCCTTTGTAATATTTTGAAATCTTTAAGATAAAATTTTAGTTTTCTGTTAATTATGTTGCTTTGACTGTATACTCTATATTTATTTTTGTTTATTAAAGCTTTATTGCAAAACAATTTACATACTACATAAAAAAGAACACAAACAGACCAATACCACACCCTCATAACAACTAAACTCTAACAACATATAATTTGATATCACACACACTTTTGACTTCCGATTCACCTCATTGTACTTTTTACACATGATTGGTCTATACGCACTTCCTTATTTTTTAACAGATACATATCAAATGTGATTTTTGCTTCTATAATTTCGTTATTATTCAAGATTCAATCTAGACCTGTCAGAAGATTTGCATTATCACGTTACGTACTTTTTAAGATATTCTTTAAATATTGTCCAACTTTTACTCACTCTCTGGTTTGAGTTTCCTCTTAATCTCACAGTCATTTTTGCAAGTTCTAAATATTCTATCATCTTCGCCTGCCAGTCAAGTTTTGTGTGTACAGTGGTACCTCGGGTTAAGTACTTAATTCGATCTGGAGGTCTGTTCTTAACCTGAAACTGTTCTTAACCTGAAGTACCACTTTAGCTAATGGGGCCTCCCGCTGCCACCGCGCCACTGGAGCACGATTTCTGTTCTCATCCTGAAGAAAAGTTCTTAACCCGAGGTACTATTTCTGGGTTAGCAGAGTCTGTAAACTGAACTGTCTGCAACCCGAGGTACCACTGTATATGCGTTATTGGAGATAGATGTCCTCAGAGAGTGAGCACTAGCCAGGTGAGGGAGATCTTAACCCTGCATGAAAGCCCAGAAACTATTGGAAAGACGCTGTGATCTTGGGTTATTAATTAATAGCTGGAGGCAAATGGGGCCTCCTGCTGCCACCACGTCGCTGCTGCGTGATTTCTGTTCTCATCCTGAAGCAAAGTTCTTAACCTGAGGTAATATTTCTGGGTTAGCGGAGTCTGTAACCTGAAGCGTATGTAACCTGAAAGATATGTAACCTGAGGTACCACTGTATTTGACTTTCTTCAGATTGTTTTATTGATGTTTTAATATTCTGTAAACCCCTTTGAGATTTTTCTTAAAAATATAAAGCAGCATAGAAACGAAATAAATAGTAATAGTAATAAACTACAGTTCCCAGAATTCTTTTTCTGGGGTGATGGGTGGGGGACAATCTTTAAGCACATGGTGCATACAGAACTTCCATTCCCTCTAATGCCCAGTTCCACAGCTAGAGGTTTCAGTACTTTCTGTTTTCCATCCCTTCCCTTTTGGCTCAGCAACGAGAGGAGAAAGGGTTTGCCCACGTATCACCTTAGTGACCTGACATGCTTACCCAACCTGCCCATGGTGCTTGGGCTTGATCCCAAAACCTACGGCTGGTGCAGAGAAGAACCAGGGCCGTCTCACTTTCATTCACGGATTCTGACAGGTTCTCGTTAGCCTTGCCTGCTGCTGCCTTTCAGCCACAGCAAAGCACCGCGAGGCCTTGAGCGTCCGGACTCTGGGAGACAAACAAAAATCCCAATATCAGCAAGGGGGCAGGTAGGGATGCAGCAGAAGATCAACACAGCACTGGGCAGAACAAAGGTGACATAGGGCTTCAGTAGAGGTCAGAGTTGCTACTGTGGATTAACCCCTTCCTTTCCACACTGGAGGGGAAAGCAGCTGCCATGCAAGACCGTGGTTGTCGACTTCCAGGAGGAAGAAATAGCATGCTGGTCATTTGGTCTAGCAGAAGGGCATGGTTGTCTTTGGCCACAGGGGATCATCGACTCTTTACTCCTTTGTTGTTGTTTAGTCGTGTCCGACTCTTCGTGACCCCATGGACCAGAGCACGCCAGGCACTCCTGTCTTCCACTGCCTCCCGCAGTTTGGTCAGACTCATGCTTGTAGTTTCGAGAACACTGTCCCACCATCTCGTCCTCTGTCGTCCCCTTCTCCTTGTGCCCTCCATCTTTCTGGGATAAATAATGGGAATGTTCACTGCTACCTAGGAAAATGTTTTGGTATCAGACGTATCAATGGATCTTAAATTAAGACATATACGACTCCTTACTGTTTTGGGAATTGAGTTCCAGATGGGTCCTTATATCAGCCAGCCTCTCTTGCACAGAGACTCCACTGCACAGGGAAAATCCTGTTGGTAGAGCATCAGACTCTTCATCTCAGGGTTGTGGGTTTAAGCTCCATGTTGGCCAAGATTCCTGCATTGCAGGGGGTTGGACTATATTATTATTATTATTATTATTATTATTATTATTATTATACCTCACCCATCTGGCTGGGTTTCCCCAGCCACTCTGGGCGGCTTCCAGCAAAGTATTAAAATACAATAATTCATCAAATATTTAAAGCTTCCCTTCAGATGTCTTCTAAAAGTCAGATAGTTGTTTATTTCCTTGACATCTGATGGGAGGGTGTTCCACAGGGCAGGCGCCACTACCGAGAAGGCCCTCTGCCTGGTTCCCTGTAACTTCGCTTCTTGCAGTGAGGGAACCGCCAGAAGACCCTCGGAGCTGGGGTCCATTCCAACTCTATGATTCTGTGTCTGGTGCGACCCACAGGCTGCCTGCCTATTCAATGCCAAAGTGACACAATGGTGGTCGCGCTTGTGGTCAGGATCACCATCATTTTTTGTGGAGTGGGTAGTCAGAAGACAGTTTGCTGTTCGTAATAGACTGGCAAGGAGAAATGGTTTTTAAAGAGCCTAGGTCTCTTGACGCGGGTGGCGCTGAGGTTTTACCCACAGTCAGTGTTCGGGTGTTATTGGACTTGCTGATCGCATGGATTTGCTGATCCTAGGACTTGCTGATCGTATGGTCAGCGGTTCGAATCCCCGTGGCGGGGTGAGCTCCCGTTGTTCGGTCCCAGCTCCTGCCCACCTAGCAGTTCGAAAGCACCCTTTAGTGCAAGTAGATAAATAGGGACCGCTTTCTAGCGGGAAGGTAAACGGCGTTTCCGTGTGCTGCTCTGGTGCCGGCTCGCCAGAGCAGCTTCGTCACGCTGGCCACGTGACCCGGAAGTGTCTGCGGACAGCGCTGGCCCCCGGCCTCTAGAGTGAGATGAGCGCACAACCCTAGAGTCTGTCAAGACTGGCCCGTACGGGCAGGGGTACCTTTACCTTTACCTTTAGGTCTCTTGAAACTGATCAAAATCAAACTCCTAAACTACCTAAACTTGTCTGTATTCCTGCGAAGAGAGAAAAAGGTGGCCGTTGCTGGTGAATCTCTCCTTTCTCTTGACCCCTCCTATCCAACTCTTAAAACAGGGGTGCCCAAACTTTTTTCAAAGAGGGCCAGATTTGATGAAGTAAACACGCGTGAGGGCTGACCAATGTTGCTGAGCTTTTTTTAGGATTTTACCCCCGGACATATACTGCCACGGGGCTGAATTAACTCGACCAGAGGGCCAGATTAGGCCCCCGAAACGGACTTTGGACATACCTGAAAAGAAGCTGAGCCCCCTCAGGGTCTTGACCCCCAGTCCTGAACACTACTGGTCTGTTAATCATACATAGAAACCTGCCCTACTCCCTAGATGCATGTGTTTGATCTTGGAGCCACAGGGGTGCAAACCCACGTTTTACTGCCCAGCTATGCTTCGCCTTGGCCTCTGGCACTGACTCACAAATATTCAACTGTAAGTTTAAAGAGTACCGAAAATATGGGACGGGAACACACATAGAATCTTGTACATCTCGTTTCCGAGGGTGGTACTCAACTAAGCGTTATGCTGCACAAATCTATTGAAATCAACGGACCTAACTTAGTCCTGTTCATTAATTCCAATGAGTCTACTCTTGAGTACCACCCCCAGTCTTGGGAATGATTAGCCAGCCACTTCACTCGCTGCCTACAGATCGTGCTTTTGCAAAGGCCTGTCCCCTGCCAGTGTAGGATGGTTATTTTACCCCTCGACTGACGATCTCGACTGAGAGAGAAGCAATCGATTCCAAGATGGTTGGGGCTCTGCTCTTTGCCGTTTGTTCCCTTGCTCTGCTTGAATCCGGGGGTAAGTCCTAATAATAATAATAATAATAATAATAATAATAATATAATAATTTTATTTATACCCTGCCCATCTGGCTAGGCCTCCCCAGCCACTGTGGGCAGATTCCCAAAAAATATTAAAATACTGTAATACATCAAACATTAAAAGCTTCCCTAAACAGGGCTGCCTTCAGATGTCTTCTAAAAGTCAGATAGTTGTTGTTCTCTTTGGCATCTGGTGGGAGGGCGTTCCACAGGGTGGGCGCCACTACTGAGAAGGCCCTCTGCCTGGTTCCCTGTAACTTGGCTTCTCGCAGTGAGGGAACCGCCAAAAGGCCCTCGGTGCTGGACCTCAGTGTCCGGGTAGAACAATGGGGGTGGAGACGCTCCTTCAGGTATACTGGACCGAGGCCGTTTAGGGCTTTAAAGGTCAGCACCAGCACTTTGAATTGTGCTTGGAAACGTACTGGGAGCCAATGTAGGTCTTTCAAGACTGGTGTTACGTGGTCCCGGCGGCCGCTCCCAGTCACCAGTCTGGCTGTCGCATTCTGGATTAGTTGTAGTTTCCGGGTCACCTTCAAAGGTAGCCCCACGTAGAGCGCATTGCAGTAGTCCAACTGTGTGTTACACAAGGCAGCAGACCTTACAGCAAAAGCAAGGAGGCCTCACTCTGCTTTCTTCCCTAGAGAGTATCAAATGCAACACTTGTCTCATGAAGAGTCCCGATGCCGAGTGCATGACTGGGGTCGAAGGCTGCATGTCTCAGGGAGAAAAATGCATGACCATCCGCATCAGCCAAGGTAAGGGACCCTGGTCTGGTTGCCGCATCATTCAGAAGCGGCTGAATTGAGCAGGGAGAACCTGCAGCCCTCCAGGTGCTGCTAGACTACAACTCCCACCATCCCTGACCATTGGCTGGGGCTGATGGGAGTTGGAGTCCAACGACATCAGGAAGGCCACAGATTCCCTGCCCCAGGTCCAGAGTCTCTCAAACTGTGATCTATGTATGGCCCACTCAGGGCCTGCAAGCTCCTTTTAGGGATACCTTTGACTCGTGGAACAGTCAGGAATATCTCTGCTGCCAGACGATGGAAATTGTGGCCATATGAACCGGGGCAGCACTTATTGAGCAGGTTAACTAACACGGGACTGAAGCCTGTGTTTTCTGTATGTCACTGGTGCAATCTAACAATTCCCCCTTAGACCTTTTCTGGTCCTTCTCAGCAGCCTGGCCCAGGGCACTTGATTTTCATAATATGGGACTGGTTTTAGCACTGATGCTGATGCTTTGTGTGTGCGTAGTTTCTTAAGCCCACGCACACAAAAAGAGACAGAGGCTGTGTCCACACTCCCATCTACTGCCGTTCCAAAGCTGTCGTTTTTTTTAATGTGTTCTCATGCCACAATCCACTATGCATATGTATCCTGTGCTTTGCTGTAAAAGATACTGCTGTCTGCCATGCTGTTTCTTAAACCAGCCTCAAACTGATTGGAATTTTTATGGCACTCCTAATTCCTCTCCAGACCTTTTGCATAGGGTAAAGGCATCCCTGCCTGTCGACACCCCCTGGTACATAGAAATCAGAAGAATTTTTCATTAAGTTAGCCCAATGTGGTTTGCTCTTCATCCAGTGTCCCACTGCTGCTGGCTTAGAAAGTGATGAACACAAAGCCACAAACCACATTTCTTTTATCTATCCTGCTGTTTCTTAGGAAACAGCTTCAATTTGAATCAAGACAACAAAGGAGCATAAAGAGTACACCCTAGCTGTATTTTAAGCCTGCAATGTATACACAGCATAGCACAGTGGTTAGAGCATCGGACTATCCCCACAGAGCATAGGAGCCAACTCCTAGGAGCCAAGGTCCCTTCCCCCCCAAAAAAAAATTTTGGGGGGCGGCTGGGGCCCACAGATTTGATGGACATTATGTGCAGCGTGTCATGTGATCGATTATGTGGGACAGGGCTTACCTGCCCCCCCATGCCAGATTTATGTATAAGCTAAACAAGCTATAGCTTAGGGCCCCCACTCTCTTGGGGGCCTCAAAAAGAATTAAAGGGAAAAAACACCTGGATGTACTTTTCCAAAATATAAGATAAAAAACAAATAAAATAAAACCTTACATACAGCAACAGTGGCAAATGGCTTTAGATACCGATTAGTCCATAAATTACCACACAGCATATATTCCAACACAAAAAACAGTGACAATTTGTTGTTGACAAAGGACAGCTGGACATATAAAGGGTCCCATTACCTTCAGTACCTTAGGGCCTCATCATACCTAAATCCAGCCCTGCCCCCCCCCAATATTTTATTTGAGTTGGCATTACTGCCACTGTTTCTTAGCCTAGCCTACCTCACAGGTTCTAGATTCAGGTAGGCAGCCATGTTAGTCTGACGCAGTTGAAATACATAAAAAAATTGTCCAGTAGCCCCTTAGAGACCAACTTAGTTTGTTCTTGGTGCAGTGGTACCTTGGGTTAAGTACTTAATTCATTCCGGAGGTCCGTACTTAACCTGAAACTGTTCTTAACCTGAAGCACCACTTTAGCTAATGGGGCCTCCTGCTGCTGCCGCGCCGCCGGAGCACGATTTCTGTTCTCATCCTGAAGCAAAGTTCTTAACCTGAAGCACTATTTCTGGGTTAGCAGAGGCTGTAACCTGAAGCGTATGTAACCTGAAGCGTATGTAACCTGAGGTACCACTGTATAAGCTTTCGTGTGCATAGGTATCTGAAGAAGTGTGCATGCACACAAAAGCTTATACAGTGGTACCTCGGGTTAAGAACTTAATTCGTTCTGGAGGTCCGTTCTTAACCTGAAATGTCCAGGTTAACCTGTTCTTAACCTGAGGTACCACTTTAGCTAATGGGGCCTCCTGCTGCCACCGCTCAATTTCTGTTCTCATCCTGAAGCAAAGTTCTTAACCCAAGGTACTATTTCTGGGTTAGCGGAGTCTGTAACCTGAAGCATCTGTAACCTGAGGTACCACTGTACCAAGAACAAACTTAGTTGGTCTCTAAGGTGCTACTGGGCATTTATATATATATTTTCCTACCCCACAGGGTTGTTGTAGGGATCAGAGGAGGAGGAGAGGAGGAACTATGTGCGCAGCCTTGAGCTCCCTGCAGGAAAGCTGGGACAGAAATATGAGAAATTAAATGAATAAACGTATGACTATGCAGGCATGGGATAGCAGAGGGATGGGAGCACCTTAAGAGGCTGGGGTGAGTCAGGAGGAAGTTTACAAGCCCAGAGCTGGTTCTGGCTGCTGCAGTGAGAGGCTGGAGGGGCCGCGGATGCCAAACGTTCCCTACTTTCCCTTCTTCTCCCGCCCCACCCACAGACGGAAAGGAGAAATTCAGGATTCTGGGCTGCACCAGACAGAAGAAAAAAGGCTGCGGCGTAAACAAGGAGTCGCACGGCCACCAGGTCAGCATCCGATGCTGCTCTTCGGACTACTGCAACGTCTAGCAAAGAGCTGGGAATCCACCCCAGTCTCCATAATTCTCCTCTTCCCGCATCTGCGCTCCGTTTTGTCTCCCCTCCTCGGGAGCCAAGCCAAGATGTGAGAAAAAAGCGAGGAATAGAAACTTACAGATCTTTGCAAAACTCCCCTGGCTTCTCTGAGATTTCCCTCATATTCCGGAAGAAGAATGGCTTCTCTTCCTCATCTCCACCCACAACCCACGTTTGCTTGCCTTCCCCCCCCCCTCTCCTCTCTGCGGGGCGTTTCTCACCCCTCTTGTCTTCCAGAATATTTCTGGGGTTGAGCAACAGATTATATTTAGGAAACGTAAATGACAGAAATAAACGATGGAAGCCTGCAAACAGCAAGAGTTGGGGCTTCCAACCCCCCCCCCCTTTGCATAATTTCAAATGCATGTGGTTGAAAAATTGTGTGATTTAATTGTGTGATTTTTCAAATGATATTTCGCTGGAATGGCTCAGTGAGGAAAGAAAAGTGAAAGAGACCAAAGATATTTGAAAATGTGATGCAATGCGAAATATGAGTATGTAATTTAATTATTCTAACAAATAAAGAATTATTAGCAAGTTGTTATGATTTTTATAAATGAGTTCCAAATATCATTGTATTTTACAATCTGTGTCTAAAAGCAATCCATTCATCTGTTGCAAGAGTTGTCCTACCCATTGATTAAAGGGGGTCATAGTATTATCTGAAGGCAGCCCTGTTTAGGGAAGCTTTTAATGTTTGAGGCATTACTGTATTTTAATATTTTGTTGGAAGCCGCCCAGAGTGTATAAATTATTATTATTGTTATTATTATTATCATTATCATCATCTTTCCAATGAATCAGTAGCAGTCTTTTGGCAGAAGTTAGGGCACGGAGAACAAATCCATGTTGACCCACTGTCAAACCTCATATTGTTTGTGTATGGTTCAAAATAATATTATCTGCCAGCCAAGTTAATGGTCATCGCTAAATCTAGTGACAGCAATTTTGAGAAATTAGAGGACGTTGTGGTTATTATTTCACGCATGAATCAATTCTTGTGAAGCATCTCAAACAAATTCACAACACAATAAATAATAATAATTCCATACAGTTGCAACCAACATATAGGTAGGGTTCAGCATTAATCTGTTAACAAACCTGACACAAGATGCTGTATTTGGTTTTCTGCAGAGTTGTTAAGAAACTCCTTTTCCCCTGCCCTCCCCCAAGCTAGTTTCCCAGAGTGGTTTAACATACAAATCCCTCTTCACAGGGAACTCTGGGAACTGTAGTTCTGTAGAGGCTCCCTACCAGCTCTCAGCCTCCTTAATGAACTACAGCTCCCATAATTCTTTAGGAAAAGCCAGGAATGTTTTTAAGGTAGTACGATATTGCTTCAAGTACATGGTGTGTTCTTGATTCTGTCATAGAAAAGCAAATCAAACTCTCTGTGGAAGCTGCTCCTTTCGAGGCCGGCAGATGAAGCCAGGCTAGTTTTCCCTTTGCCGTAATAAACTTTTGGGAGGCAGAGGTTGTAGCATGTGAAGTGTGTGTGTGTGTGTTATGCATTTTGTGTTTTATACTTTAAACTGCCCTGTTATTATTTCAGATGTAGGGCCGTATATAAAATTAATAATATTAATGATTATTTTATTATTAACCAAATAGCAGCTGCAAGGAAGCCTGATCAGCTTCCTTTTTTGCTTTCTGACGTTAGGCAGGAAGCAAGTTCTTTACAGTAAATTCTTTGGGGGCTTAGGGCTGGGGCTGGGTTGGTCTTCCCCCTACACTTGCCAGGTTGTTCTTCCTGGGAGCAGGACCGGATTTAGGTTTGATGAGGCCCTAAGCTACTGAAGGTAATGGGGCCCTTTATATTTCGAGCTGTCCTTTGTCAACAACAAATTGTTGCTGGTTTTTTGTGTTGAATCTATGCTATATGGTAATTTATGGGCCTAATAGGGATCTAAAGCCATTTACCCATGTTGCCATGCAACCAGTCCGTGCAGAATGTAGGCACCCTATATCTAGAAATGAGCAAACCAGTGATATTTTAGGGAGCAGGCTAGCAGGCGGGGCCCATTACTTACATCATAGGAGCCTACACAACACAAAACACTGTTGCTGTGTGTAGGTTTCATTTGTTTTTTATCTTATATTTTGGAAATGTACATCTTTTTTTCCCTTTAAATTTTTTGGGGGCTTCCAAGAGAGTGGGCCCTAACCTATAGCTTGTTTAGCTTATACGTAAACTAAGCACTGCCTGGGAGGCAGGAAGCACATCTTCCCCAGTGGCCCTCAGGTCCCCTAACAGAGGGTGCTTCTCCACTCTGTATCACAACCTCCACACTCTTTCAATGATGGTGCCACATAGCTGACTCTGCGTGCACCAATTTACCATGCATTTTCCCTGAAAGAGCACCTGGTGGAAGAGAATTTGCCTAGCCAACACCACCCCAACTGCCCTTCTACTTATGATTAGCTTACAAAGGGTTGCCTCAAAGATTGCCGAGATGTGTGCGCTATTCGTGATTATCTGAAATGTTTGTCCGATGATGACCGTGACCCAACATTAACTGGAAGCTCCATCTCCCAAAAGAGCCGGTGTCCATAACTGCTCATTTTTGCTGCGTCCTTAGTTGGGTTCTAGTGTGGTGAAGTCGTTTGCTATCTTGAGCCTTTTCAGCTATGCAAACCTTGGTATTCGATAATATGGCAAAAGCATATGAATTGAGGTACACATTCCTGTACAGAGAGAGGGGGAGGAAGAGGGGGTCCGGCCAGCATAGCTGGGCTTCCACCAAATCTTGCAGCCAGCAGGATTGTGCCCATAGCTGTAATTCTTCGCTAACTCACAAGACAGCAACTCTTGAACTCCTCTCCGTGCTCAGCAGGGGAAGGGCGGGAGAAGTTTCTGACCCGCAAGGTCCACAAATGACAACATTTTGGAGGTCCCAAGCCGCAAGGTGGTTAGATTGGTCTCAACTAGGGCCAGGGCCTTTTCAGTACTGGCCCCGACTTGGTGGAACACTCTGTCACAAGAGACTAGGGCCCTGTGGGACTTGACATCTTTCTGCAGGGCCTGCAAGACAGAGCTGTTCCGCCTGGCCTTTGGTTTGGACTCAGTCTGGCCCTTATGTTTCCCTCCCCTTATGGTTTTGATTTATGGGCTACTATTAAAATGAGGCTGCATTTTAAATTGTATTTTAACCCGTATTTTAATAAACTGGTTTTGTTTGTTTGTCTCCCCCCCTCCCTTAATGTTTTATTGTAATTTTATTGGTGTTAGCTGCCCTGTGCCAGACTCTGGCTGGGGAGGGCGGGGTATAAATAAAAAAATAATTTTATTATTATTATTATTATACACATTCAGGACTAAAGGGCTTCTGCTCTGGAGGCCAGGACCTGAATCAATGGATCCAAGTTACAATAAGGGAGATTCCAAACTAAACACCAGGAAGAGCTTTCTAACAGTGAGAGCTGAAAGATGGACTCTCTTGGAAAGTGATATAGACACTCCTTTCCTTGGAGGTTTTTAAGCTAACGTTGGATGGCCACCTGTTTATGTACCCCATCCCCAACCTTGCCCCATCTTCTCACAGCTAACCACATTTTCTGGAGCAACAATTCCTGGGCAATCTGCTTTCCTCCAGGATGTCCTTCGTGAAAAGGTCTGCAAGGCCAAGACAACGGGAGTTGTCCCCAAGTCTGCTGTGTCCTTTAATGTCCATGATCTACTAACGCTGGGCATGACCCTAGCTGTTCCTAACAAGAGCTTGCCTCCTTCCTACCAGTGTTCGTAATAAACACGCAGGGTGTCACAGGGCCCTGCATCAATACAGCACCACAGCACCAGGGGTGGGGGTGGCTCCATTTGTGCCACGCAAACCGCTGTTGGACTCCCACTTTCCATCATCCAACCCACACAATTGGGGACAGTGCTGGGCATCCAGAAGGACAAAGGTGTCCTCCACAGTCCTACTCACCAACACCCAAGTGGAAGGGGCAGGGGCACATTTCTACAGTCGAAGGAAAACCCCAGCAGATGAATTGTTGCAGAAAGGAGACAAAATCAGAGGAACGTTTTTCCCCCCAGCAAAAAGATTTGCTGGACCAAATTTGCCCCCCACACAAAACAAAAAGAACAAAAAATTTATTTAATAAACCAGTAAACAGAACACAGAAGAACAAGACGCATAAGGCACAGCACTTGAACTTTCTGCGTTGAGGGAAAAGATTGTCACACATGATCCTAATCATTAAAAACCTTTACATACTTGGCAGTAGGACGGATGCATGCATAAAATTTTAAATCTGTGATTAAGGCATAGTTGTTCACCTAGGAAAAAAAGAAATGCCCTGCCCGCCCTGAAATCATATCCTGGACCAAAGATTTTGATTGTTTTATACATCACTAGTGAATAATCATTCATTGCCAGCTATGTGATTGACAGGAACTGCAGAGAACATTGGAATAATGGGATCTTGAGGGTGGTGCATATTTGAAACCGCAGCAGCGAGATGCCTTATAGTCACTCCCCAGCAGCGCCACAAAGGTAACTCCTGCGCTGGCTCCTCCAACCTTCCACTCAACCGAACCTTCCTTTGAAAAGCCTGGCCCACCAAGCTGACCAAGTAGCCTTCACCTGATACTGAACTTCCCCGTCTTCTCTGTACACATTGATATCGCTCTGCCCCCCACCAGAGATGAAGGTCAGATTTACTCCTCCACACGTCACCATCAGTTTGGCATCGTCCTGCAGCACCACTGGCTCACGTGGAAATTCTTGCAAGGCCTTGTTGAGGCAGCTACGCAGCTCCTTCAAATCTCCCTGAGTCTCGGAGATGTTGGACGGCAGATCTTGGAGGACATCACTGATTCTGGCGAGACTGAGTGGCATTGGGTGGCGCCCAAGCCTTGCCACATGGACTTCTGGGCTGGACTCATCAAGGATGTATGACGCCGTGCCATTGATCCAGACCACTTCGATGTGGATTTCCCCTTTTCCGGAAACGAACTCCTGCTTTGTTCCGTTACATTGAAGGACCATCCTAGAGTTCTTCCGCACCATGGCTGGTTCCTCAGAAAACTTGTGAACGGCTTCCTCCAAGCACTTACGCATGGCTCCCTCTTGCGGCTCCTGCATCTCGGCTTCCAGTAGAGCCGCAAGACTGAGGTTTTTCTGCCCAACCAAGATGGCCGCTGTTGCGTTCTCCCCAGCTTTTGCCTTGTTGGCTTCAACGGGAGACTGCTGTCTCCACGGGGCCCAGAACAGAGCCCCGATAAAAGCCACGGTGAGGAGGGTGAGAAGGGCAAGGAGAACCAGAATCAAAGTCCAGGTTTTTCGTTTGCCCAGAGGCCTGGTCGTCTGAGTCATAGTGGACTTGTCAGAGAAACTGGGCACGCCACATTCTATGCCGTAGAGCCACGATGGCGCAGAGCTTCGGGGTAAGATTCCCCAGAGTTTCTCTCTGTACGAGAATCTCTGCACAGGAATGAGCTTGCTGTCGTCCCCATCGTCCAGAAGCGGCTCAAACAGGTTGCTGTCATCCCTCATGCTGGCGAAATCTGGCAATGAAAAACAGCTTAAAAATGAGTG